TATATATATATATATAAAATATTCCAGTCTGCCCAGTAAAGGTTTCTGACATAAAAAAGGTTGTGTTCTCATTTTCAGTCCATGCTCTGTCAACCTGTTGCTTACCCATGACTAAATCCTTCATGACCTGTGATGTTGGGAGCCTAATAGTTTTAGGGAAAGTTAACTCCAGAGTTGCCAAATATTATGGGTCTTGGTTAAAGTAAATTACTTCTCATTAGATTATTCCACATTTCGTAATGATCAGTGGCTAATACTTTTGACCAGTTGTTCTATTTTCACGTGTGTATGCTCCAACAGGTTGGCAGAACAATATTGTCGTGCTGCCTGCCTATACTGTATATTGCACGCAGGCAATATCATGTCTATTAGTGCTGCTACATTTTCTTTTTTTAATTGAGTTAAGAGTATAACATTGTTTTGTTTTTGGTGTATTGGAATGTTACCTTGTAGTATTTTTTTTTCTGACACGTGAAAAGAGAAACCATATGGGAGACAGAGTTTACTAGCTCCAAGGTCTTAGTTTAAATATATGTATTTTGAAAAGAACTTATATTCATGATCTAATCCCACTTCTTCTTTTTTTGCTCTGTTGTCTTTGGTGTGCTACTACCAAGTAAAGGGATACAGCACTTAACCAAACCACACTTAATAGCCCTGCAAATGTTTTTTAATATCTTCAGCCGTATAACTTTGCAGGTTCTGTTGCACAATATAACACAAGTTTATATGTTCTTTCTGTGTTTCAGAATTTCCTAATGTAAAAAAATAACATTAGACCATGGAAGTTCTTCAATGTGATGGTTGTGACTTCAGAGCTCAATCCTATGAAGATCTAAAGGCTCACATACAAGATGTTCATACAGCATTTTTGCAGCCCACAGATGTTACTGAGGAAGGCTCTAGTCAGGCTAGATCTGTGGGAACGAATTCCACCAACCAGTCTGAAGCTGTATTTCCTTCTATGAAAGATGAATTTGTGCCTACAGAAGAAAATCATGGTGGGTTGAAAACATTTTGACATTGTTTGTTTACCCCAGTGGTCACAGAGTCTCCATTTACTCATGTTGGCTAGTACACATTAGACCAATCAATCATTTCTTATTCAGTATGAGAGTGGTGTCTGGTCATAAGTAAAACTACTGAGCGATTGACTGACTGTCATGTCTGGTTTTATATTGCATATTTTTTTTAGACAATATATTTCTAAACTAATATGTCTTCTTTTTGTGTTTTTTCCATTTTCTTTTTTTAGATCAGACTACTCCTCAAGCAACTACTGGATCATACTACAGTCAGGGCCCTGGATTTTATGGTCTATCTTCTGCCAGCAGTTCTAAGCCAACCAATAAGTTTTTCCAGTGCAAATTCTGTATTCGCTATTTTCGATCTAAATACCTTCTTGTGGAGCATACTAAAAAAGTCCATGGATCTGGAGGAGGGAACCCTGGAAGCCCTGGAAATGTAAATTATAATATTATGCTACATGACGGTTTTGGCAAAGTCTTCTCTTGTCAGTTTTGCACATACAAGTCACCAAGAAGAGCAAGAATAATTAAGCATCAAAAAATGTACCACAAGAATAGCCTGAAAGAAATGTCAGCAACTTCAGTTTCCCAAACTCCCCCTGTATCAATGCCAGTGCAAGAAACATGTAAAGAACTACCAGCTGAAGTAGTGGAACGCAGTATTCTAGAATCTATGGTAAAACCTCTGACAAAGTCTAGAGGCAACTTCTGTTGTGAGTGGTGCAGCTACCAGACACCACGACGGGAGCGTTGGTGTGATCACATGATGAAGAAACACAGGGGAATGGTCAAAATACTATCAAGTTTAAGGCAGGATGGCTTAAATATATCAGATCTACAAAATAGAAATTCTCAAATGCCCAGTCCTGGATCCAGTTATATGCCTCTAAACATGGCAACACATGATACAACTAATGCCAGTATGTCTGCTTATAGAAATCCTATGAGTAATCTTCCAGGTAGTAATCCATCCAAATATCAGTCAATGCCATACGTTCCAGTGAAACCAAAACTCTCCACAAATTCTGGCCTTTTGAATATGTCAGAGAGGTCTTCCTATGGCATGTCAGAAAGATCTAGTTCCATAATGGATATGGATGAGAACATTTTTTTAAATGATTCCAGTTCAGATGATGACTATATTGACATAGATGGAGAAAATGGTTTAGGTTCCATGGAACTTGGAATGTCTGGAGAACCACTGTTGGGATCTGAGAACAACAAACTGCTGGAGACAAAGGGAATTCCCTTTAGAAGGTTTATGAACAGATTTCAATGTCCATTTTGCCCATTTCTCACAATGCATCGACGAAGTATCTCTCGTCATATTGAAAATATCCACTTGTCTGGAAAAACCCCTGTTTACAAGTGTGATGAATGTCCCTTTTCCTGCAAAAGTCCCCTAAAACTTGGTGTACACAAACAGTGCCATGGTGGTACATCATCAGAGTGGGATCCCATGAATTCACTTAATGAAAGCATGTCTTCATCATTAAATGAAACCTATGAGAGTAACAATATAAATGGCAAAAAACCTGGAAGCATAGCAGACTCTTCTCAGCAGAATCCACACAAGTGTACTATGTGCAATTATTCTACAACAACTTTAAAAGGTCTGCGTGTTCACCAACAACACAAACATTCATTCTGTGACAACTTGCCGAACAGTAGTGGTAATCTGGTGCATCAAATTCAAGGTGACGAAACAGATTTGAATGACTCTGGCACAGTAAAGAAGAGTCAAACATCTATTTTAGGATTATCTTCCAAAAATAATTTTGTAGCCAAAACATCTCGGAAAAGTTCAAGCGAGTTTCCATTGGATTTGTCACCTGTGAAGAAAAGAACTAGAATTGATGAAATTGCGAGCAATCTACAGAGCAAGATCAACCAAAGCAAACATAAGGAGGATGCAATCATTAATGTGGAAGACGATGAAGATGATGAGGAGAATGAAGTGGAAATAGAGGTAGAATTAGACAAAGAGGAGGATCCATCAGAACAGATGGAGTCGGGAGATCTGTATCCCATGCAACAAATGTGGAATAGAGATATTGGTATGTCACAAAAGAACACAAACTTCAGAAACATCCAGAATAATTATTCTGGAGGCAATAGTGCAGAAATCGAGTTGACTTTATCAGATGATGATGAAGATTACTATTACCAGTCTGCTAGTATTAAAGACCAAGAAAATTCTATTGTTTTGAACCAGTCTAATTTCTATGAGGGTGATCAATTGGGTGAAAATGCTGAGTTCAATGACGATTCTGGAAGGTTATATTATTGTAAACACTGTGATTTTAGCAACAAATCTGCCCGAAGTGTTAGCACTCATTATCAACGCATGCATCCCTACATAAAGTTCAGTTTTAGGTACATACTGGACCCTAATGATCACAGTGCTGTATACAGGTGTCTTGAATGCTATATTGACTATAACAATTTTGAAGACTTGCAGCAACACTATACAGAGCACCATCCTGAAGCAATGAACGTTCTCAATTTTGACCAGTCAGACCTGATTTATAAATGCCGCTTTTGTTCATACACAAGCCCTAATGTTCGGAGCTTGATGCCACACTACCAAAGAATGCACCCAACTGTAAAAATTAATAACGCTATGATATTTTCAAGTTATGTAGTGGACCGTCCAGAAGATCTCAATTCTGAGTCGCAAACATTAAGAGAAATCTTGAATTCTGCTCCCAAAAACATGTTGACATCAAGTCCATCAAGTCATGGAAATAGCTCTACAGCATCCTTTGCTAAAACTACCCAAAAGTCATTTGCTACAGAGAATGACAACCAGAAGAGTTCAGTTAACAATGTTGTAGTTTATGATTGTGACATTTGTGGATTTGCAAGTCCAAACATGCACTCTGTTTTAGTTCACTGTCAGAAGAAGCATCCTGATGAGAAGGCATCTTACTTCAGGATTCAAAAAACAATGCGTGTCGTTCCTGTGGATAGTGGAACAGCCATTTCTCAGCTGGCATTTGATGGAGGCGCTTCTGTTACTCCCAGTATTACCAATGTGGCTTCATCCCCAGAAGTAAATATTGAATTGTACTACTGCAAGCATTGTTCATATAGTAATCGCTCTGTTGTTGGAGTATTGGTGCATTATCAAAAGAGGCATCCTGAAATTAAAGTTACTGCAAAGTATATTCGACAAGTACCTCCAACGTCTGAGTCACTGAGAAATACAGAAGGCCAACAAATCACAATAGGAAAGCAGCCACCTGTTCCAGTACAGAATGCAAAAAAAACTAGTGGTCAGTCCAAAAACAATGAGATGTTTTTCTGTCAGCATTGTGACTATGGAAATCAAACAGTCAAAGGCGTTCTTATACATTATCAAAAGAAGCACAAAGACTACAAAGTAAATGCAGATACCGTAAGGCAACATACAGCTGCAATAAGGAGTCTCTGTGAACAAGGCCACAAGAAGGCTACTTGTACACAAAGTCCACCTTCCATGATGGAGCCAGAAAAGACAAAACTTAGAAGTCTCAAATGCAGGCAGTGCTCATTTTCAACGCCTTATGTTTATGCCCTGAGAAAGCATATGAAGAAAGATCATCCTTATCTTAAGGCTACAGTGACCTCAATTTTGAAATGGGCTTTCTTAGATGGTTATATTGAAGCAGGTTATCACTGTGAATGGTGTATTTATTCTCATCCAGAGCCAAGTGGTCTTCTTGAACATTACCAAAGAAGGCATCCCGAGCATTATGTGGATTATACCTACATGGCAACAAAGTTGTGTGCAGAACCTGATCCTACACCTGCACAAGTAACACCTGAAACCAAATCCTACCAGTGCAGAGACTGTAACTTTGAAGCTCCTTCCATATGGGATATCACGAATCACTATCAGTCTTTCCATCCCTGGGCCCTGAAAGGAGATGAATCTGTACTCCTTGACATTATAAAGGAGAAAGGAACTGTAGAAAATTCAGAAGAAATAACATCACAGATACTGTTTACCCATAAAGGTTCCATAAATGTAGAACCACTTTTGGAGAGTGTAGATGATTCCAGTATACTACAAGAAAAATCTGCACAGTTGTCCTCTTCCCAGTCTTCCTCACCTTATCAGTGCACAGTCTGCCATTCTGAATACAACAATTTACATGGCCTTCTAACTCACTATGGTAAGAAGCATCCTGGCATGAAGGTTAAAGCTGCTGATTTTGCTCAGGATGTAGACATTAACCCAGGTGCTGTGTATAAATGTAGACATTGCCCATACATTAACACACGTATTCATGGTGTTCTTACCCACTACCAAAAACGTCATCCTTTGATAAAGGTCACAGCTGAAGATTTTGTGCATGATGTGGAACCGCCTAAAGAATCTGCGCAAAATGAAAGTGAAGAAAACAATAAAATATTTAAACAAGGATATGGTGCCTACAGATGTAAATTATGTCCCTACACCCATGGCACACTGGAAAAGCTGAAAATTCATTATGAAAAATATCATCATCAAGCAGAACCTAATATGCTCTCTAAGGCATTTGAGAAAGAAGCTTCTAGTGCCAACACAGATATTCAGTCTGATCACAAACCACCTCACACAGTTGTTACTCTGGAACCTGGGGAAGTTACTGGACTTACCGGCTTCAGACCACGAAAAAACATTAATCCACATACTGTCTTCAGATGTCAGTTGTGCAAATATTTCTGCTCTACCAGAAAAGGGATTGCAAGGCACTATCGTATTAAACATAATAATGTCCGAGCTCAACCAGAAGGAAAAAACAATTTGTTCAATTGCGCACTTTGTTCTTATACTAATCCAATTCGAAAAGGTCTTGCTGCACATTACCAGAAACGACATGACATAGATGCATACTATACTCATTGCCTAGCAGCATCTAGAACTGTTACTGATAAACCAAACAAAGTTGTAATTCCTACCCCTCATAAAGAAGATTCTTCTGACATGAGTGACGATTTGAAACAGGCCATTGAAATGAAAAAATGTTCTCTTTGTGAATTTCAGTCTTATAGCAAAAAAGGGATTGTGTCACATTATATAAAAAGACACCCTGGAGTTTTTCCCAAAAAACAACATGCTAGTAAGCTTGAGGGCTATTTTACGCTTGTGTATGGTGAAGAAAATGAGAGCCAGAGCTCTTTGGAGGACAAACCTGAAATAGATGCACCTTCAGAGGACTCCGAAACCCAAGAGCCAGAACTGCTTCCATTTAGGTGTATCAAATGTTTTAAGTTGTCATTTAGCACCGCTGACCTTCTGTGCATGCACTACACAGACCATCACTGCAAAGACATAAAGAGGGACTTCTCCGTCTTGGGTACCACAGGTACCCGTTCCTATACTACCATGTATCAGTGCAAACACTGTAATACCAAATTATGCAACATTGCTGAGCTAACCGTTCATTTGAATGCACACATTGAAGATTTTCAAAAACGTGCCAAACGCCAAGAGCGGAGAAAGCAGCTATTACAAAAGCAAAAAACTGCCGAAAGTTTAGTTCCAGAGGGAAAACCAGAAAAGGTAAGATACTCCTTAACAGTCTTAAACATATTGTTTTCTTATTTTTGTAAGTGTTATATCCAGAGTCTGCCACAGAATAAAATACCAAAACCAATACTACCATAAAATGTGCACAGTAACTCATTTTTACATATTATGAAATGTGAACTGGTACTGCAGAAACGCAGAAAATTGAATACCCTGACTGCATATTTAGTGTCAAGAGATTTATGCAGCGATGTTGCATAGTTATTGAATTAAACTATGTGTGAAATATAATTGTACTGCTTTGCTTTAGAACTTCTGAAATTTGGTATAGTTAAAGTGAACCTTGGAGTAAAATGCAAGGTATATTTATTATATATATTTATGCAGTGATGTTGCGTATTCATTGGATTAATCAATTTCTGAAATGTTTGCAAGGTCTGCATCAAGGCTCCTCCCCCATTATAAATAGCAGCTTTAAACATAAAAAAAAAACTTGTGGGGGAAAAGATGTTAGTACAAAGACCTTAAGCTCAGCCTACCTCACCATCTTTCCAGCATGATCCAGGAGACTGCTGCGTGTCCCAAATCTTGTAATAAGATGCTCCAGCACAGTAAATGAGCTTCTCGTAAAATCTGGGATACTTAACATTTCTGGGTATTGTACTGGAAAGATAATATCATCCTCACATTGGTGCTGCAGAGGAAAACTGTGGGTAGGTTGAATATATTATATTAACTTTTTCCCTACAAGTTTTTTTTTCTTTTCTTTAAACCTTTCGCTGCAAAGCCCACCAAAACATTTTTCAATTCAGCTGGCCACGCCATTTTTGCAATTTTTCCCATTGGTTTGATTTTCAACCGCTGCGTTGCTAGCGTTTGTAAAAGACCCCCCAAACCATATATTTTCTGAAAGTGCAGGCCCGGTAGAATAAAAAGATGGTGCTACTAAATTTGTAGGCCCTGCGATAATTGCCCAAATGTTTCTCAAATTAATATTAAACCGATAAAAATACACAATTCAATTGATAAAGCCCTAAAATCAGTATCAGTGCAGAAAAAAAATGTTTGTGACTAAATATAAAAGATAAAACTGTATTGAGTTAATAAACAACAAATATTTGCAAATTTTAAATTGCGCCTTTTTTCGAAAAGGTAAAAAAATGACGGTACGCAAAACTGTAAATAAACGACTTATGTTAAAAATAGTTTTTACGCTGTGTTGGTGTTTGTGTTGTGATAAAATGATACAGGCGTATATTTAATTGCAACACAAGGTATCACAACGCACGGGAATGCAACACACAGCTTTGCCATGCGCTGCCAGTTAATTTAATGCTTTTTTAAAAAGAAAAATTATTTAAAAAATCATGCACTGCGATGCGTTCTAACAAGTCACTGCAGCGCATGTGCATGGCGTACACCTCAATATGTGTATGTTATGTGGGGGGAGGGAGGGGTTGTGCTGGGTTTTTTTTAATAGTTGTTTTTTTTTGTACACTTTTTTTAAAATAATGGTTCTCAATGAATGGGAAGCACCCAGTACAGAGCTTCTCATTCATTCAGAAACTGATGATAGCAAAATATTTGTACTATCACCAGTTTATGAATGGGGAGGAGCCTCTATAGCAGGGGTGCCCACAAGGTCGATCGCGATCTACCAGTCGATCGCGTAGCGATCACTGGTAGATCGCCATGTCCTCTCCTCCCGCCGCTTCTCTGGATCCCCGCTGCTCTCCCCAGCGGGGATCCGAGAAGAAGTGAAGGAACCGGCGGCGGGGGAGGGCGGAGGACGGAGCCGCTGTCACAGAACTAATGCAGAGCGGTGAGGAGAGAGAGACGCTCGGCCAGGATCTGACAGCCGGCTCCTCTCTCTCCCCTCACTGCTCGTCCGTTCTGTCACAGCGGCTCCGACTATCCCCCCGCGGCTGAAGTGCTCTTACACTTCTCGTCAGATCCCCCGCTGCCTCTGCCCGGGAGAGCAGGGGGGATCCAGAGGAGAAGCTGAGCCCATGTGTGCGTGGCCGAGCGGCAGAGGATCGGTACATGTCAGTAGTATGTACCAATCCTCTGTGCAGGACAAACACTGGAGCGATCGGCTGATCACTCTGGTGTTTGTAAATAACTGGGGACACATAGTACTATGTGTCCCCAGTTATAAATGAATGAACAGGATGTGATTTACATCACGTCCCATTCATTCATGAGTTTCTCAATGGGGAGAAGCCCTCTGTACAGAGGCTCCTCCCCATTCAGAAACTGCTTGATAGTAAAATATTTTCTGAATGAATGGGAAGCCTCTGTGCTTTCCATTCATTTAGAATAGAGGCTGCGGAAAAAAAGATTGAGAACTATGTGTCCTCAATTTCTTTTTCTATTTTAAAAGGGAAATATCAGGGGGCTTTTTAGACCCCTAATATTTCCCCGAAGCCCCCCCAAGAGTAAAAAAAAAAAAATAAATTACGGAAAAAAAGAAATAATGAAAATAAAATAAAAAATTGTAAAATTTTTTTTTTTTAAATGTTGTGTTTTTCTTGCCTCAGGTGCAAAAGGAGCTGGCTACGGCTATGCTCCCGTGGTGCTCGTGCGGCTGCCGGCTGAATGTGTCAGACGCTGCAGATGGAAAGGTGCAGGACACCCCATGTGCAACGTCGGCCACACGAGCACCACGGGAGGACAGGACGCCGGGACATGTAGGGCGCACTGGAATGTAAGCCGGCCGACTCCCTGCGTTCAGGTGCGGGAGGGGGTGTGGAGCTGTATTGAAGTCAATGGCATCGCCCACATTGCGATCGCCCGCACTCGGAACGCAGGCACATTAGTGCCTGCATTCCGGTCCAGTGCGATCTGCAAAAAATAGTGCTCGCAGCATTTTTGCGGATCGCACTGGACTGGAACATAGGCACTAATGCAGACGATCGCACTGTGGGCGAGGAGCCTGGCTGCGGTGCCATTAACTTCAATGCCACGCCCCCTCCCGCCCCTGAATGCAGGTGTTTTTTCGTTGGTAGATCTCAATGAGCTCGTCATTTGAAAAGTAGATCTCCAGACGAAAAATAGTGGGCGCCCCTGCTCTATAGTAAGTGCTACTCCCCATTCATAAATTCTTGAATCAACAGGAAGTGATGTAAATCACAGCCTGTTCATTCATAACTGGGGACACATAGTACTATGTGTCCCCATTTAATTACAAACACCGGAGTGATCAGACGATCACTCCGGGGTTTGCTCTGCACGCCATATGCCTTACGTCGGTGGCAGCGAAAGGGTTAAAGATGGTGGAGGGGGCTCATGTATATGAAATTAAGCAAAAGCTTAATACAAACCCTATTATTAGCAGCACAGTGGCGTAGTGGTTTGTAGGGATGCACCGATCTATCGGCCGCCGAAACATATCGGCCGAAAATGGCACTTTTGGCATAATGCCGAAAGAGCCATGTTTCGGCCGATACATCGGCACATCCCTGGCTTCTTTTCTCCCCGCTGGGCGATGTTCCAGCGGGGAGAAAAGAAAGTGACAGCCGGCCGAGCACTGCAGGACGAGAGCGCTGTGAACGGCCGTCGTCTCTCCCACACCGCTCAGCCGCCTATCGCAGTCCAGCAGAGCGGTGTGGGGGCGGAGACAGCGCTGTTACAGGAGGCTGGGCTTTCCTCTCTACACCGCTCGATCAGCCTCCTGTGACAGCGTGTCAGAGAGAAAAGCAACTATATCCTCAATTATGAATGAATGGGAGTAATCTACATCACCTCCATTCATGAAGGGAAAGCAATTCTCATTTTCATTTTCTAACCAGCATTAGTTTAATTAAAGAGTATCTGATTAGTTATGGAAAATAAAGGCTGTTCTTTCAGACCTTTTGAAAAATGCCTTCTCCTATTTATCATATTTGCTAAGTTAATCCAGAATGTAGTACCTACTTAGGTTCTTATTGACTTCTGAGTATGTACATAGGTAAAGTTATGAATAAAATTAAACTACAACTATATGAGGCTGGCCCACAATTTGTGTGTGTGTCTATAGATAGATATACTGTATTTAGCCGACGTGTATGAAAGCAGATTTTCTTTTTTAATATATTGTCTCCCAAAGCTCCAACACACTTGAACAGAAGTGGAGCATTGCAACGTAATATGCTGGTAAAGACTGAAGATATGTTATATATAGGGTTATATATAACCCTACAATCTTTTGTTTTGCTATTCATTGTTCTTTAATGTAGGTACAGTAAACCTATGATAATCTCAGGCCCTGCTCACATTTTGTGTGGTTGTACCTACCTAAATGCAGTTTGAATAATGGTTTAATATGCATGTATGCAGTATTTGTGTTACTTCTAATGGTAAAGCAGACCATGTTGCAAGTAGCTGGGTGTTGTAGCAATTTAAAATATGACATCATTTCACCATATTAAAAAAATTGATGGCAGCACACCAGTCTCAGAATTCTAAAATTTAAATTTTCAATAACGAAGCTCCCTGAAAAAAAACAAAAAACCGCAAATGCTCACACTATCCCCACCACGGAACGTTTCTCTAATCCAGAGAAGTTGTCCATTTTGAAGTATCTGTAGAAATGGACACATCCAGGAGTGTTGGCCTCCTGTTGTCCTCATTGGTTCCTTATGCCAATCTCCACATTACTACAGGACCCACTGAGCACATCTGAGTACACTAAAGATAGACACTCCTGGAAGTGTTGATTTCTGCAGATACTTCAGCAATTTCTCTGGTTTAGAGCCACCATAGCAGTATGGGCATTAGGAGAGAGATCTCTGTTACTGGGATTTTAATTATATTCACCTTTAAGTGTATGAGGATGTTGAAACAAAATTTTTAGACCCTGCATTTTGGCCTTGAAGAGACCTTGCCATGTCCTAAAATGTAGCTCTAACCTTGACGTACCAATAAAAATGCAGTTGAAAATGTTGTCAGTGATGTGCTGGTATTGATTCATTCTGTTGATCAGCATGCATTAATGGCACTCTCTAGAGCAGGGTTTTTTTTTTCTTTTCTATAGTTCACATGCAATAATTCCATATTTGTGTTACTATTTATCATTTTGGCCTTAAAAAAAGAACTGTTGTGCCTTCAGACTGCTGCATGAACAGTTGTTTTAAAATGCACTGCACTATAGCACAGTGCTGTGAACAGCCTATGGTATGGTAGGATATGTATTAAATACAGGTAACCACACAAAGCTAAACAGGCCCTAAATTGTGTAACGTATGTCTAATCAATGGGATATAGCTGAAAAAAATATAGTGGATAGAAAATAGAGCAGCATTCCATAGCAACCTCTGTGAAAGTTGCTGTATTTCTTCTAAAATTTAGATGTCTAAGCATAAATGTAATAAGTTTTAACACAGTTCGCCAAGCATACATATTCATATGTCCCTCCATGTTGTTAAATAGCACTGCATATAATTGATCAATTGATAACATGACACTGATGTTTACTTTCTTACTTACATGGGGAGATAATTTACAGACCACCATTTCATCCAATATTTTTTACACACCTCTTCATATCAAAACAAAATGATATAGCTTCTATATTTTTGTGCTCATCTATGGCTTATGTCCCAGTGGTTCTTATAGACCTTGATACATCCCATTGTGTGACTGAGTCATTTGTGCTGCCTTGTTTGTAGCCTTTTTAATGAACTTTCTCTCAGTTGCAAATTCAAAGCAGATAGATGTAAGGGGTTTAGTATTCCCTGATCATCATACTTTAAGCAGTTGTTTTGAAAAATATAGTTATTCTGTCACTTAAATAATAAGAATTTCGTTTTCCACTAACATGGTTCTGTAGATGCTTTGATGTATTGCAAGAATGGAATGTGTTTATGGCAAAGAGAAAGCATAGTGGCAGGAATAAATGGCAGGGATAAAGAGCTGGTATGTAAGCGATCTAGACTAAAGCGGTTGTCACCCAGTAAATAAGGCCTTTTAGATGAAAATTACACATTTCAGAGACCTCCTTGTTTTAAAGTACTGTATTTTTCGCTCCATAAGACGCACTTTTTTCCCCCCAAAAGGAGGGGGAAAATGTGCCTGCGTCTTATGGAGCGAATGCCAACGCCCGAGACATGCAGTTTTCGGGCACCGGGCGAGTAGTAGGAGCCACTGCTCGTTTAATACGAGTGATCTAATGAGATCACTCGTATTAAAGCCGAGCAGCGGCGTCGATCGAGTTCAGCAGCAGGAGCCACTGCTCGTTTAATACAAGTGATCTAATGAGATCACTCGTATTAAAACCGAGCAGCGGCGACGATCGAGATAACCATAGAGCAGACGAAGAATGGACGTTCTTCGCCTGCTCTGTGTCATCACTGAGACCGTGGCGCTGTAATCACAGCGCCACCTGTCTCAGCGGTCACTAACTGCAGCTTCTGTGACAGCTTCTGTCATAGAAGCTGTCACAGAAGCTACAGTCTCGAGTGCTCCATAAGGCGCGCCGGACCTCCCTGCGTCCTATGGTCCGGTGCGTCTTATGGACCGCAAAATACGGTAATTAAAGTTAGCTGGTAGCATTAGTTCAAAAGGTAGAATTTTATATAAATAGTTATACAATAGATGATTGTTTTGGGTTCCCCCCCCCCCCTTTTTAAAAAGGCCAGCATTATGCATCCTTACTATCACAATGTCATGTAATTTCCTGGTTATTCAGTATTTCTTGCAAAACTTAACTGAATTTTAAAATATGACGCTGTATTTGAATGAGAACTTGCAGGTGCTTTTTGTTTAAGTATTTTATACCATACATTCCTTTCCTGCACTACATTGTGAATTTTATGGATATATAAAATGTAATACTATCAGGGATATTCACAAAAGGGTGAAGAGTTTGGAGAAGGCAGGAGAAGTGAACAATCTAGGACAACATAGCTGAACTGGAAAGTGACAGAATTGGAGTATTTTTCCAAATCAGCTATGTTGTCCTAGATTGTTAACTTCTCCTGCCTTCTTCAAACTCATCATGTTTTTGTGAATAACCCTGTTTCTTTGTAAATAATAATACACATAGTCTTCTCTCTAGATGATCTATTGCCATATAGAAAGTCACTGATTGCTTTAGTACAATGTTCCTTTTGAGTGTTTTATTTGGCTGTGATAATTGTGCATTTTTCTGGATATAGTTACAGACAGGAAGTGATCAAGAGACAGTGAAAAAGGGATTAAAGGAAAAGGTAGTTGTGGGCTACAAATGTAAATTCTGCGTGGAAGTCCATCCCACTCTTCGAGCCATCTGTAATCATCTTCGCAAACACATCCAGTATGGAAATGCTCCCCTACTTCCACCTGAATTAAAGGTAAAAAACTGACTCATGGCAAATTGACTCAGTATGCTGGAATATACTTTTTAGAGCTTAGACATTTTTGTAAACAACATGCTGCTTGCACATTCTATAATGCTAGCATCTGTGAACCTGATTTCCTACCAGTATGTTTTTTGACTATAGTTTTATATGGAGCTTCTTTAAATTGGTCCCCAAACCACTCAGCAGTGCATGTTGTGCAAACTACTTAAAAGGAAAGCAGGTGCATTTACTTATTCAACTATCCCGTTCTACCGGTTCTATTATTAATAGAGATGCAATACATATACTGATGGAGGCATGTTTGGTAAACTGCAGTGTGCTGTAAATATAAAGATTTTAAAAGTCCATTTATTGGTCTTATGGAAGTTGGAGGAAACCTGGATTGGTAATATCACTCTTTTCAGTGTTCTGGTCCTCTAACCTGCAGTCTAGGTATTTTACCAATAAGCAGTTTTGCTGTCAGTCCTCCTCCAGCTCCAACTCCAACTGTTTGAGAGAGGATAACTTATGTGATATCACTGCCCCTGACATTGTGTTGAAATAATTGAGTAATGTTTTCAATAAATGTGTTTTTAATATATATATATATATATATACACATACACGCTGAGTGGCCAGATTATTATGACCACCCCATCAGTACTTCGTTAGGCCACCTTTTGCCTTCAATCCTGCTGCAATTCTTCTTGGCATTG